GGGTATCCTTGATCATTCCAAATTCATTCTATGTGACCGCCTTTGGCGATGTTACAATTGCGATTAAATAAAAAGCACTCTCTTTGGTCATCAATAACCAGTAACTGTCGGCATCAGTGGGTTCAGTGTCGATAGCGACTACCCACGCCAGACCGTTGAAGGTTGGTTGCTGACAAACAGATGCGTTGTAACGAAGAAAGAGTGACGGACGGGACAAGCTCCAGTAGCGTAACGGGTTAGAGCACACGCGTGACCAAGAGTTTTGCAAAAAACTCAGTATCACTGGGCATATGTATATAATGTCATAGAGCTGCTAAAAGTCGTCAAATAAAAAGAGTTCGATTTGATCTCACTTCGATGTGATTTCTTGGAAATCGTTCTATGGTCATTCATGAATTTCACACCGTTGAAAAGGTGCTAACCAAAAAGTTTCCGTGTTGAACTGATCTACTACATTTATGTAGAACGGGAAAAGTATGAATGGAAAGGAGAAGCACTCTTCATATAGAGAAATTTCCCATCTGTCTGTTAGGTAGGTGTAGCTCGTCCTCTGCAAGTTGGGTCGTAAGGCGATCGCCTTCACGCGGTATTAATGATTCCTTCACATTGGCATATTGCCAACATCACTAGTGCTTAATTTATCGTTTTTTTTTTTCAAAATTTATTCTAATGGTTTAATTATGCACTGAATTGCATGCGTCTTTTTTTTTTGCAGTGCGTTTCGTGAATTTTCAAATCGTCTTCTCTGGAGTTTAGTTTATCTGATTCCGCATCGTGAATTCTTGATTGATCGTTTATAGCGGTTGTAAGATGTTGAAAAATATACCCATTGATGTGGAGTGATGTGCAAAACTTTTGCGTCGACCGGGACTTCAACCCGCATTTCACCTTATCAGGGGAACGCTGCTCTAAACCGGTGCGCTATGAACGCCCGTTTTGCCCACCTCTCTTCCTAGATTTCACATCTCTTCAGTTCATATCTTCGGACGTGCTTCACTGAGCAGAGTGTCAAGCAAGGGCTTTATTGGGTTTTCTGGAAACCTTGGAGTTTACTATTTTAGCGGGAAATCGATTTTCGCGAGTTGTCCGACCGTTGACTCTTGGCGAGCCATTCTTTCGGTTGAACCCTTCCTGGATACATTCATCCGTTACCATTCCGGTCTAACCAATTTTCTCTTTCGTTCACCGATGAGCGATTTGATCTACGTCCGTCCTTCGCAGCGCCTTCACACGAAGTTCGCATCATTATGCACACAAATACCACGTATCTATGACGTTTGTATATGTACATGCATATGTGTACATAGATTATATATTTACATCTATATATACATATGTATACATATATATATGCGTGTATCTATGTATATGCCATGTGCATACACATGTGGGGGAGCAGTGGCCGAGTGGTTGTGATCCTCGCCGCGGCGAAGGTGGGGCCGACCTCCAGCCCTCCACCCCCTAACACTCTTCGGCTCTTCGGCAGTCAGCAAGAACGCCGTAGGGGAGACCACAGCCAGGCACAGACCTCCCATCTCCCTGAGGTCGCTGAATTGGTACCAGACTTGTCTGAGAGGAACCACAACTGACTTGGTACATCGATAGGCCACCCCGAGTAAAGGTCAGATATGCGCCGTTAATCACCTCCAGTGATGCTACGAATGGAGTCGAATGCATGGGCGCATCACTCAGCATCAACGTCAAGAGCTTTATCCTTTCTTCTTTACTGTGAACGAGATATAAACCTTTTTTGTACTCTATACTTTTACACTACAGTGATAAAGCTCTTGGCGTTGCTTGCATACGTCTTCGATATTCGTAGCTTTGTTCGAGGTGATTGAATGCATATCTGGCCTTTATAATAATTCGCGGTGGCCTTCCGCTTTATCGAGTCAATGCTGCTTTTTCTTTCAGACAGGTCTATGACTAATCTGATGCCAGTTTACCAACCCTGGAAAGATGGATGGCTTAGAGCCATGGGCGCAGGATTCCCCCATCGACCTTGCGAGACATGCAAAGCGCCTCTGACCCCCGCGCTATGTGCCCTCTATCCTTTTAGTATAACTGTGCATTGAGTGTATTTTTGTGAAAGTGTCATTGTTGTGGCATTCTAGTTCTTCCTTCTATGGTAAGTAATGTGATATCGATCGGAACTCTCATATGCAGCCTTGTCTGTCCAATGTAATTTTCTTTCGTGGTCTTTCATTCATGAATTCCGGACAAGAAAATGGTCGGGTGTGTTTGATGGAGGACACATATTGACTAGTGAGAGGTGCAGCAAATGAAGGGGATAATATTCGGTACACTACTACTGTGGAAGGTAGCTTCAGCCAGTATGAGCTGATTTCACATGGAGCAGTTCTGGCCTTTTTTCTGAGACCGATTAGATTTCGAGTGTCTTCTAGAATTTAGTCTTGTTTAGACGTGTGCAGCAAGTCCGATTGTCGTAATACTTGGCGCTGAATCTTCCAAAGCGCAGCTATTATGAGTTTCATTCCGTAAATTCATTCGGATCATTTCCGTTATCCGCCCGTAGTTCGCCCCCTTGGCAAGAATGTATTTTTGGTTGTTTCCAAAGTCTGAGAAGTCATATGATAGCTTAAATTTTGAAGAGACTTAACATGTGTTTTATTTCCATAGTGACCTCTTTGGTAAGGGGCGACAGCAAAAATAAAATTTCCATGTTTTCCATTCAAAAGTTTTCGCTAAATGAGGCTTTTTCTTCAAACTTTTAATAGCCATTCGACAACTTTAACCTCGAAAAATTCAGTGACATGTTCGATTATAAAAATAATTTCTGATGCGCTGCAACTGCTAAGAGAAAATCAGGTTTGGCACAGCGCGACAATGGCATCGAACCACCGCGACTTTTCGCTGCTAATTTTGCAAAACCCGATCTTCTTTTCATTATTGCAACGCACTGAGAAGCACTCTTCAAAAGCCAGATCCATCATTTCAATTGTCGAGATTTGAGCTATCGAGTCGTTACTGGAAGGCTAAAAGGAAAGCTTTATTTAGCACGAAATCTTCGGATGAAAAACATAATTTTGTTCATTGTATTTTTGCTGTTACAGCGCACCGCGGAGGCCATTCCAGAAATAAAGTGCATTTGTAATTTCTTCAAGATTTAGGCTGTCGAAGATCACTCATTCTTTGAGAACAGCCAAAAATACGTTTCTCCCGAGGAGCCGAACTGTGGACTGATCACGGAAATGTACCATAAATTCGTGAGTACACTTTTTGAAAACAATTCTGTCCTCAGAACTGCTGAGATTTGAGCTATTGAAAGACTGCCTGAGGTCGAAACAAAATTCGCTTGCAAGCACCAGGCGGAAAGACAAGCTAAACTAGTGTGAAAAATGAATTTTTATCCTGTTCAAACGGGAATAAGAAAATTTCAAGATGCCAAACACATGTTTGAAATTCGCGGATTTGGACTTTCGAGATTTTACTAGAAATGTGAGAAAAAGTACTTTGTGTGCCGTGAGAGTCTATAAGAAATCGTGCTTTTTTTTTTTTTTGGTTACACGTCGTCCTGGAGTGGTTTGATTAAGCATTTTGTTTTATTTGAAAAACCATTTACATCATGGATTGCGGCCTCCTGTGATAAGTACATTCGAACCAACAAATGTTCTTTCTGACAATAGATCTTTACGGCAATCAGCATATTCTCATTTAGCTTCAGAATTGACGAATGACTGCGTTACCGTTCCAATGTTTTTTGTGAAGGAGCAAGTGGACACTTTCTTTTCTGGAAAATGAATGCCTAGGTGAGCTCTAATTATTCTTTTGTGCGAATTTTCAGATTTACTCTTATACCTGATCGTTATTTTTGAGCCATGCATGTGGTCTGTTATGTGAACTTATGCAGTGCAATACATCCGTTTTGGGCTTGCAGCTTCGTCAGTCGCACGGTGCTTTTTTGTTCAGTCAGTTCCTTACGAACCTTCCCTTACATAAAGGAGCCGATGACGAACGTTCTGCACGCGCCGAAAAGTGATAAAATCACCGAACGGGCAATGTTTTACACTCGATTGCTCTTGGCTGGTAAATGTGAAATATTATACCTTTCGTATCGAGTGTTTCTTAAGACCACGCTCAAGGTTTAATATGCGTGACAGTAATTTTTGAGCAATGCATGTTGTCTGTTATGAGCATCTGTACAGAGCGAGCAATCGAAGGTACAACACTGCCCTTACGGTGATTTTATCACTTATCGGCTCGTGTAAAACGTTTGTCGTCAACTCCTTTATGTAAGAGATTGATCTCGAAGGACTGATTGAACGGAAAGGCAACTGATGAGGCTGCAGGACTGAAACACGTGCATTGCACTGTATCAGTGCTCATAACAGACTACTTACATGGCTCAGAAATGACTATTAGGCATATTGAAATTGGAACGTGATGTTAGAAACACTCAGAGCGAAAGAGATGAGATTTAGTCTCATGCTTACAAATGAATGATTGTCATGACTGTAGAAGACTAACAATTTTTTGCCAGCATTGTAGACTTACTTGCATATGTCGGCCTGATTTCAACATTCCAGCAATGTTCTCTTGAGAAAATAGGCTGTACTCTTGTTTTACATTATTTTAAGCGCCTCTGCACAGCATATTTTTCATATAAGGTTAACCTCAAAATGCTTTTAGTTGGGATTTCGTGTGTTCGGTGAGTTTGGCACAGCGACTGAAGTACATGAGGTGCTCGCCTGGTAGCCTGTTTCTCTCTAGTACCGTTTGGGTCCGTTTGGGTACACCCCAGGGATATCCGGGACTTGCCGGTGGGTTTGGTTATATGTAGTTACCTATCGTTTTTTGTAGATATTTTCACACTTTCGTGTTAATTTCATTTTTTTTTCGTGTTTTTATTTCTTCTTTACTAATTTGTGTTTATATTAATCCAAGAATTGTTATATCTTACTGCTTTTTCGTGGTGTTATGATGTTTCAAGTATACCTAGAAGAACTGAATGGTGGGCAAAAAGTGGTGGGTAAGCTGTGGCCTTGGTGGTGCAGTGGTAGCACGCTCCTCCGGTATGTGTGAAACGCGGGATCAACTCCCGTCTGAGGTTGGGTTTTTTATCACCACTTAGTTTGCTCAGAGCGCATGTGGCGCAGTGGTTAGAGGTGCCCTGCGTCGCACACGAGGTCAATGGTTCGATCTTGCGCTCATGGCTCGCCAAGTCATCCATCCCTCCGGGGTTGGTAAATTGCTACCAGACAGGTCTCAGACTTGTCTGGGAGGATGAGCAGCACTGACTCGGTCCAGCGGGAGACCTCCGCGAGTCATTGTAAAGGCCAGATATGCATTCAACCACCTCAAACGAAGTTAAAAATTGAAGTCGAATGCGTGGCGCATCCCTCAGGGATTGATCAACGCCGAGAGCTTTATCCTTTATCCTTAGTTTGCTCAGGAATATTTGAAACATCATAGCACTGCGAAAAGCAGTAAAACATTGGAATTGTTGGATTTTTGTAAGTACAATGGCCGTCAAGTTAACTAGGTTAATATAGCGATATCATTCATCTGACCAAACCTATCAAACGTTGTTGGCTGATAGATATCACAGAGAGATCTCGAAGAATGACTGATGGGAAAACTGTGGTCTCGGTGGTTTAGTGGAGCACCCCACCTCCCCGTATGGGTGAAACGCGGGTTCAACTTTTGTTCAGGTCGAAGTTTTGCCCACCACTCAATTCCCTAGGGTATTTTGCGTTACCCTACTGATTTCCGATAATGGCAAACGTAATCGAGTAGCCTTTAGTTTTGTTACTCTGTTTTTACCAGCTCCCGTGCGTATATGTTAGAACGGAAGCGAACGTGATGACGCTTGCACAGATTAATTACGCCTCCCTCCTTGCTTCAATGCAGGGCTGAATGTGGGGCGGGGGTCACTGACGAGGAGGACGTACCTCCGAAACACCGGTGTATGACCCTGGCGTAACAACCTCGTTTTTCAGCTTAAATCATTCTTTTTTGGAATTATATTGAATGTTTTTTTGCGGGGTTTCAAAAACAGTCGATCTTTTGATTTAGTTTTGATCTAACAGCAAAAAATCCATCGACTGAGGGGTGGTGATGGACCAGTGTCATTGTACACTGTTCCATCACCACATACGCCTCCCTCCTTGCTTCAATGCAGGGCTGAATGTGGGGCGGGGGTCACTGACGAGGAGGACGTACCTCCGAAACACCGGTGTATGACCCTGGCGTAACAACCTCGTTTTTCAGCTTAAATCATTCTTTTTTGGAATTATATTGAATGTTTTTTTGCGGGGTTTCAAAAACAGTCGATCTTTTGATTTAGTTTTGATCTAACAGCAAAAAATCCATCGACTGAGGGGTGGTGATGGACCAGTGTCATTGTACACTGTTCCATCACCACATACGCCTCCCTCCTTGCTTCAATGCAGGGCTGAATGTGGGGCGGGGGTCACTGACGAGGAGGACGTACCTCCGAAACACCGGTGTATGACCCTGGCGTAACAACCTCGTTTTTCAGCTTAAATCATTCTTTTTTGGAATTATATTGAATGTTTTTTGCGGGGTTTCAAAAACAGTCGATCTTTTGATTTAGTTTTGATCTAACAGCAAAAAATCCATCGACTGAGGGGTGGTGATGGACCAGTGTCATTGTACACTGTTCCATCACCACATACGCCTCCCTCCTTGCTTCAATGCAGGGCTGAATGTGGGGCGGGGGTCACTGACGAGGAGGACGTACCTCCGAAACACCGGTGTATGACCCTGGCGTAACAACCTCGTTTTTCAGCTTAAATCATTCTTTTTTGGAATTATATTGAATGCTTGCACAGATTGATGGATCCAAATATTACTTCTCGTTTTTCAAAATAAATGCCGCCTTTAGAATTAGATTTCATCGGATTAAATAGCGATGATGATGTGCATATAAAAAATATTCAGTTGAAATTCGCTTTTTCTCCAATTTTTTTCCAAATTCGCGTGCTTTTTTTCTCCTATTTTTTCCATATCTGGGTACTTAGGCCAATCAACATGAGAGAAGAGTAGACCATAAAATTTTTGATTAACATTTTGAATTAAGACCACGGAGAACAAATTCTTCAATAAACTCAAAGGAATTGCGCCTGCATCCAAATTTTCAAATTTTTTTTGATCTGACATCATGTTAATATTGTCGACCAAATGCATCCATCTATAAATAATATACCCAGTGATGTGAGTGATGTGCGAAACTTTTGCGTCAAGCGGGACTTGAACACGCTTTCACCTTATCCAGGGACGCGTGCCCTATGCCTTGCACCACGGGCCCCTGTTCTTTCACCATTCTTTCTCCTCCGGATAGGGGTTAGATGCGGGTTCGAGCCCTGCCTGACGCAAAAGTTCTGGTCATGACTCAACATCATTGGAAATATCTATAACATCATGCCACCGTTAGAAGCGGTTAAATTAAAAGAAATCTAATTCCAAAAAAAGAATGATTTAAGCTCAAAAAAGGGGTTGGTAAGCCCAGGGTCATACTTTCATCATTCTTTTTTTGGAATTATATTGAATGTTTTTTGGGGGTTTCAAAAACAGTCGATCTTTTGTATAGTTTTGATCTAACAGCAAAAATCTATCGACTGAGAGGTGGTGATGGTACAGTGTCATAGTACACTGTGCCATCACCACATACGCCACCCTCCTTGCTTCAATGCAGGGCTGAATGTGGGGCGGGGGTCACTGATGAGGAGGACGAACCTCCGAAACACCGGTGTATGACCCTGGGCTTACCAACCCCTTTTTTGAGCTCAAATCATTCTTTTTTTTGGAATTATATTGAATGTTTTTTGGGGGTTTCAAAAACAGTCGATCTTTTGATATAGTTTTGATCTAACAGCAAAAATCTATCGACTGAGAGGTGGTGATGGTACAGTGTCATAGTACACTGTGCCATCACCACATACGCCACCCTCCTTGCTTCAATGCAGGGCTGAATGTGGGGCGGGGGTCACTGATGAGGAGGACGAACCTCCGAAACACCGGTGTATGACCCTGGGCTTACCAACCCCTTTTTTGAGCTTAAATCATTCTTTTTTTGGAATTATATTGAATGTTTTTTGGGGGTTTCAAAAACAGTCGATCTTTTGATATAGTTTTGATCTAACAGCAAAAATCTATCGACTGAGAGGTGGTGATGGTACAGTGTCATAGTAGACTGTGCCATCACCACATACGCCACCCTCCTTGCTTCAATGCAGGGCTGAATGTGGGGCGGGGGTCACTGATGAGGAGGACGAACCTCCGAAACACCGGTGTATGACCCTGGGCTTACCAACCCCCTTTTTTGAGCTTAAATCATTCTTTTTTTTGGAATTATATTGAATGTTTTTTGGGGGTTTCAAAAACAGTCGATCTTTTGATATAGTTTTGATCTAACAGCAAAAATCTATCGACTGAGAGGTGGTGATGGTACAGTGTCATAGTACACTGTGCCATCACCACATACGCCACCCTCCTTGCTTCAATGCAGGGCTGAATGTGGGGCGGGGGTCACTGATGAGGAGGACGAACCTCCGAAACACCGGTGTATGACCCTGGGCTTACCAACCCCTTTTTTGAGCTTAAATCATTCTTTTTTTTGGAATTATATTGAATGTTTTTTGGGGGTTTCAAAAACAGTCGATCTTTTGATAAAAGAAATCTGTTTGATCATCCAATACACAATATTTGTCAGTGTGACTGGGTCCAATGTTGATATCGACTAGGTAGGATAAATCGTTGACGACTGGTTTCTGACAGGTAGATGCGTTATAGCGTAGAAAGAGTGTAGGCAAAACGGACGTCAGTAGTGCATCGAGCTAGAGTACCCGCCCCGGATAGAGTAAAGTGCAGGTTCGAGTTCCGTCTTACGTGAAACTTTTGCGCATCACTCAACATTTCGGGTGCATCTGCTTGCCGATAATTTAATTCAGAAGAAGAGATATCATTTTTTCAAGCGCACTACAATGTTTCGTCCAGCACCCACCACAAATGCTTTGAGTACGATATCGATTCAGTTTAAGAAATAAGATGATCAATATATAGGTGGGGTTTTGGTGAAAGCACAGAATTTATTGCCAGCTTTAACGTCTTACTTAAATCACGGATTTCCTTCATTGAGCTACCGTTGCCAGGTTAATCTTGAAGCACGTAGCGTTTTTCCACATAGGAGAATTAAACATCAACAGAAAGCGAACATGTGCCTCCAAGAGACTCAAATAGATTCAGGAAATGAATTCTCTTCTTCTGCAGCAATAATTTGACATACCTTATCTCTAAATTGTCCAAAAGTCTGAAATCAAGTGAGTGAGAAGTACACGCAAGATTTCTAAGCCACTTCCGAAATTTTTCACATTTTTGCTGTCGTTTCTGCAAAGCTACCCGTACTTGTCATTATCCAACATTCAGAGTTCAAGGAAGCTACACGTTGATCACGAAATACTAAACAGTTAAGAAATCGGCCTCACTTCTTTGAGTCCAAAGCAGCTCCCGGTACTACAGCGTGGGAATATGAGAAAACGGAAAAGGTGCTAAAATCTCGGGAGCAAAATAGATGGCCGAAAACGCAACAAATAAAGTGACGATATGTACCTATAACACGCTCACGCTTGCGCACGAATCCTCCATAGGAAATCATCGATCAGTGCAAGTAAAAAGGATAAGATCTGACGTCGTTGGCTTCTCTGTGGCAAGACGGCGCTGCTCATTTTACTTCGTCTGTGATACCAAAGGGAAACTGCTTGGAGGAATATGTGATCATAGGGGTCCTAGCGGTGTTTCGTTCTCGTAAATCGAGCTTGATAATAGACATTGATTTATTCAAACAACTTTCAGCACGGATCGCGTGAACGTGATAGAAACCATGCGGATCACTTCGCGCCTTGATAGTCTTCGTTGCTTATGCACTATTATCAAGCTGTGACATAAACGAAGCCGAAGCACTCTGATGAACTTGGAAAGGTTTTAAGGGAAGACCACACACTTTTCAGTGGTATGGAGATTTTAATAATGAACTTTGTAATTCTTATTTTTTCTTTCTTCTCAGGCGGGCCACGAGGTGTTAAATCCAAA